AGTGTGCTTGCACAGACCACAGCCCCTATTTACCACCACTTCAGAGCATCTCCAGCTCCCTTCAAAACACAATTTAAGTATCTTTCCTGTCCCCAAGAGCTGCCAGTTTCCCCTTCCAAAGAAAGCAATTTCTATGTATTTAGTATGTACAATTTTTGGTTTTGCTGCACTTAATAGATGCTTAGTAAATAAGTTCTGTTTGACTGATATTTAAACTCATCCTGGCATCTGACACATTGTTATGAACGTTCAAATGATGTCACTTTACCAGTGCTAAAATGACGGCATTTCTGATAGAAAGGGAACTATGCTAAAAATACAGGACCAATGTTGAGTGACTTTTATCCTTAACTAAATGTCTTACTTTCTTAAAATCTTGATTTTTCTTTCTAGCTACAGTGCTGTTTCATTTTTAAATTTATATTACATTCACATTTATTTTTAGTAAAATAAAGTTTTGTCTGTTATAAGTTACAGATTTTGTTTTTCCTCGAATAACTGAAATTATAAAGTTCTTAAACTTGATATTTTACTTTCTAAAACAAAAAACTAAGAATATAGATAAACATTGACCCTATAAGTTACTTTAATACTGTCATATTGATTAAATAACTTCTAAGAGTTAGTATAATGGGCTATTCACTCATGAAAACTGAAAAGATATTTCATTTTTTAAAAAACTATTATTAAAACAAACACAATAATACAGTGAAATAGACATTCTACGAAGGTATGTTGGTAACTGTAGAATTTCTCATTAAGCTATTTGCTGTAATGAGTTTTAGCCAGCTAATATGTTATTTAAGGAAAGCAGATTGTTAAAATGTATTATCTAACCAGAGTTCAAATCCAGCCTCAGACACAACACTCACTAGCTGTGTGACTCTGGGCAAATCACTTAACCCCAACTGCCTTCACCAAAAAATAAATAAAAGAATGAATGAATGAATAAATAAAATGAATGAATGGATGAATAAAAATATTATCTATAGTCAAAAAAGCTCATAGGTACAACACCAGGAACTTTCATTTTTTGCTAGTTACCTGGATATAAAGAAATATTGATAGAACATGCGTTAGAGAAAAAAGTGTTTTAATCAATATCTTGGATTTATCATTATCATGACATAACTAGAAAAGTTCTAGAAATCATATACATTTGCATATAGAAATAGGGATTTTTTTAAAAATTAGAATGTCAAATGAGAAAGGTCATTCTATAGGCATATCATCAAATGGTTCCATCTAGTGAAATTATTTTAAAAGAGGACAATTCCACTAATGATGTTCTACATGGGTAATAAGGTAACTGATTTTCATACAGTGGAATTTGGTTATATGAACAATCTTATTGCAAAACAACACTGGCTAGGACAACCAAAGGTAAGATATACCTGTAAATTATTACTAATAGATAAATATAGTGAACACAGCTTTTTATGGAGATATAGTACCCCTAATTTAATTGGTGTAGGAAGATTTAGTGTGAAAGTCTCTACCAATGCAATACAGCAACACATGTACAAATCAGTCTTTAAGAAAGAGTTGCCTGGGTACACAAGAAGTTAAAAGGCGTGCTCATAGTCAGACTGCATGGACAGAGCAGAAGCCAGACCAGGTCTTCTTAATTCCAAGGCTGCCCCTCTAACCACTGTCCTTCTTAGATATGCTTGACACAATTACAAAAATGTCAGACAGGAGGAAATAGTGAAGGGTGTGCCTCATGGGTAGTCTTACACACAAAATGTACCTTAGGTATATTAATAAGGGGAAGAAGAGATATATTTCTTATGATTACAATATTTAAAGTAAAAATATAATGTCATCTGTCAGTATACACAAAGGATTTCTGTGTGATGTATTACTGAGGATATTCCTCCTACTTAGATGACAACCCTTTTTCTACAGTTTAGTTGCTACGGCTGAAAAAGTCATAATCACACAACTAAACTGGTAACAAGGACCTCCCACTTAGGTGGATTGGTCCTTACAGGACAGACACACAGGCATTCAGTGGGCCCAAACCTGCAGCTTTTCCAGCTTAAAAGGCCCAGCTAAGACTTGCACTCTACTGACAAAGAACTGGAGGCCCTGAGGGTCACCTCCACGTCATGGTGAAGGGATTTGGTTAGGATTCCAGTGCTACAGCTTGATAAGGGTGCATGAAATACATTTCCACATTTCTGACTAAATATCTCAACCTTAAAAGATCTACAGCATATCAAGATCACTTGGTATATTTAACTATCATACTTACATAACAGGATCAAACATATTTCGAATCTTTAGACATGGAGTCAGACTATTTGGTGGTGAATTTCTTCGATCTAAATGAAATGCTAGAAAACACAAACAAATCAATTTTACTAGTATTTTGTGGTTATGCCATTTTATAAACATGTATTTCATTTTTAAAAAAATTGAGTCCCTCTGCTTCCACCATTTAAAAGAAAGCAAGAGTTGTCAAGAAGGGATGTTACATACCAACTCTGACAGTCTGATAAGGTAGCTGATAACTTAGCAGCCTGGGGCAGTAATTTAAGAAGCTTATTATTTGTCTAGGGGCTGAAAATTGTAAAATTCAGTGGGCTTTTTCCCCTTTGCAATGAATTTTTTCCTCATGATTACTGATCCTCTCAATTTCCACATGCACAGGTGTTACTGAAGCTTTAGGACTCTCCAGGATTCTACAGTAATAAGAGTTTCTGCTTAGCTCTTAGATCAGTCAAGTTCTAGGCTTTCCTGCTTCTCAATTTCTGATGCTTTGGCTGAGATAAAAGAACATATGTCCCATAAAGAATGGCGTAACTTTTTTCTACCTAACCCAAAATCCTACTCTTAGTTCTATGGACTAAAGACTGGCCTAGAATGAGTTTTATTTACCAGGTCTTCTTCAGAATGAAAAACTTTTATAGACCTACTTGATAAAAGTCTTTTCTTCCTAACTAGATGGCAAAGACCTTGCAGATGGAGACTTTTACCCTCCACAGGAGGAATCGGTCAACTTCAGAATCTTTAGAGCTGTCTTTTGGGGTGAAAATTGTATTGTTTGTTAAATATTATGATTTTTGGTGTATAATCAAGTCACTTCTTCTCTAGCTTTATTCATTATCAGTATTGTGAGTGTTTTCTTATTCCTTAGGAGAAATCCAGGTTATAATAACAATACATATTCTTCACAACTTGAAAGCCTGGGAAAGGTTTCATTTTTGAAGTGCCTTATCGAAAATTGCAATTGCCCTTTTTGGCAGTGAGAAAAAATGTTTTACACACTCTGTTAAGCAGTATTATGCTACAAAAAAGAAATCATTTTTTACAGTTATTATATTGTGGAGAAAGAATATAGCTACAATTTAATGAAGAGCAGTCATATTCTACTCTTTGTAGCAGCTGGAAAAGATCAAAGATTTTAGGGTCAGGAATCTTGGGTGACCTGGAGAAAGCTGCTTGACCTGTCTGTTCCTTTATTTACTCATCTGCAAAATGTAGGTAAAAACCTTTGTAAACTGTAAAGTTGTGTGTGTGCGTGTGTGTGTGTGTGTGTGTGTGTGTGTATTCGAGGCCACGCCAGCTGTCAATATTACATCATTCTAACAGTATGCAGTGATATTAAAATAATTCAAATATTTGCGAAGGTAATATGGCATGTGGATATCATATTAAAGGGAAAGTCTGCTCTTTCATTATTTTACTTTTATAACAATCTTTACAGTTATGAAGTCCCATATCAATGAACAAGAGAATCCCTCTGAGACAAACTCATCAAGCATAAAAGAATTAACTAAAAATCTTTATGTTCTATATCTGGTGAATCCCAACAAGCCTTGGGGTCTACTATATATAGCAAAGTTTAAAGTCCATTTTGGACTCCATTAAAGAAAAGCATTGTGGTGTAGAGGGAAGAATAAAGGTTTTCAAGTCTATAGACCTGAGTTTGAATCCTAGCTCAGATCTGATCTGTGTATTACTTAGGCAAAGCAATTTCTGGGAGTCAGTTTCTTTTCCTATAAAATGTGGATAATACTTACACTAAATGAATCAAAGGGTTATTGCAAGAAAATAATTTGTAAACCTAAAAGAATCTATGGAAATGTAAGCTATTTTTTTAAACCACTGGAGAGTATTTAAGTGGAAGTAATAGAAGAAGAAACTTAATACTTCCCTTGAAAATCAGCTTTACAGTGAGAATCTAGTTCATCAAACTTTTTAAAAAGCAGTATCACAATGACTTATTTTGTTTGGGACCTAGTTTAACTAAATGCCAAGACTACCTTTTGCCACACGCACAGAAGAGAGAATTCCTCTCTTCCCTCCTGTCTTCATTTAAAAAATCATAAACACCATTATGCTTTAACTGAAGTTTAGGTAAGAATTTTAACAATGCTCTAGACATTTTAGAGCAGGCTTGCACAACCTTCGGCCCCCAGGACACTTGCGGCCCCCTGGTTGCAGGTTGTGCAGGCCTTTTTTTAGAGGCATCAGAATTTCAAAATAATAAGAAATCAGTTTTTACAGTTTAGATAAGCAAGTGAAAGCATCAATTATCTTTAAAAGAAGCTCCCAAGTTGGGAGCTTTGTATAAGCAACTTGAGGTCATTCCTCAAAATCTCATAATTAACTTACTGCAAAAACTAATTATAAAATATTACACCGGGAACACATGTCCATTAAAATCAGGCACTAATTTAAACAAGTCTGATTAGTTTTAAGTCCTAGTTTGAATGTATCCTTTTCACACTCACATTCCTATTTAAAAGAGGATTGTTATTCTACCTGTTAATCCCTGGCAAGATCCAGACTATCTTTAGTTCATGATGTAAAGTAGCCTTTTACTTTAACTTTGTAAAGATGATCAGTTGGAAAAGAATTGTGACTGGTTTTTAGTGTTTTGATTTAGTGTTCTCAATAGAACTTTATTACCTTTTAGATGAATGCTGTTTTCAGTAATTAATGGTGAGTATGATTTTGTAGAACAAAGAACAAACTTACACACTCACCATTCTCTGATGTAGGACTTCCAGCTCCACTGCGGATTAAGAGCTCCGTTTTTGTAAGATACCCCTTTCCCTCCCAACCCAATCCCACCTCCTTTGCTTAGTTTGCTGGTGACATCATAATAACCTTTGAATCCTGCTACAAAGGACTAAGGCAAGTCCTTTCTTTCTTTCTTTTTTTTTTGTTTAAATAGCACATGGTTTTGTAAAGTTTTATTTTTAAATGTTATACCCCAATGGGTACAAAATAAAAACTTCACAGAACTGCGCAACATTGTAAGAAATGGAACTTACCTGACCTCTAGAGGTCGGCTTCATCAAAGAACAAAGGTGAGTGTGATGTTACCAGCAAAACTGCACAAAAGGGGCATCACAGCAAGCTGGAGCTAGCCATCTGTGGTGGGTCTGGACATCATGAACTTAAAAGGAAAAACAAATGGTCAATTTTCAGTTGAACACGAGGGGAACTGTGTGCCTAGGAAAGACTGGGGTTTTCATTATGTTTTCGGAATCAGGAGGATTTCTTAGCTGGGGGAAATGAAAGGGCAAAAGGAAATGGAATATACAAAACTCCTGACATTTCCAACAAAATTAATCAGTTTTCCAGTGGTTCATTTTTCCTGCTGTAATCAGCAATAAACTCAGTTTTAAAAGAAAAGCTGGGCCTGCAATTCTCTGTTCAGATTTAGGGATGACACAAATATTCTCATACTTAGTGAACAAAAATGTGTCAGCACAAAATCAATTAAATCAAACAACAGTATCATACTTAAGAAATTAATGTGTTAGTACTGGATGGGTAATAATCAAGATTTGGGAAAAGAATTCAAATAGAAAAGAGTCACTTAAATTCTTTGAAGGAATGAAACCTCTTTTTTAGTAATAATTTAACTTCAATTGGTCCTTAGCAGATATTGACAAAAAACTTAAGCAAAAATGTGATTGGTATAGTAATAATATCTCACCTTCCTACAAGACACCCCTAAATTTTAACTACCAAACTAAAAAATAAGCCATGCATTTGGAAACTAGTCTCAAATCTAAATTGTTAACAGAGGCTCTATTTCACCATCAACTAACAAGATGCCAGTTTCTGCAGTGATAATTATAATTCTAATGAAGCCCAACAAAACAAATAGTTCATTAAACACAATGGGCACTACACTAGTAAAATAAGCATGATGAAAAGGATACAAACACGTCTCTAAGAAAACAACATGGTATAATGGACAGAAGACAGGCATTCTAACCTTTCAAATTAACTCTGCAATGACTTTGTTTTATAGTTTTGGCAATCACTAACTCATTGGCTTTGTTTTCATCATAAATAAACAAGACCAACTAGGTTCAATGTTGTGAAGACAAAAGTGACTTATCTAACAAAGCAGATAGCAAAAAGCAACAGATATACAGTATCTTATACATAAAATACTATATTATAATATTTATTAATTATACCAAATCAATACTACTACCATTAATATATTGATATTATATTACTTAAAAGAATGTTTATTATATTGATATTACAATATAACAGTTTTAGAATGTCATATAAAATGCTACATCACATAGTATGTTAGCCTTTCCAAATTTTTTTTCACATACATTTTTTCACCAAAATCTTCCAACAAGTCTGTAAGGCAGATAAAATTGCTATTATTAATCCCCTTTTAAAATAAGGAAAAATACACTGAGGTTAAATGGTTTGCTCAAAGCCACACTGCTAGTTGGTGGTGTAGTCAGACTAAAATACATCAATTTCTAGACAAATGTACCGGTTCACTAATTTTTCCACTATAATATTCTCCCAACCTCAATAATTACTACGTTCAAAGATAATAGCTAATAACCCTGATGAGTAAATTAAGTTTTATAACATGCTTCCAGACAAAACTGTCCAATCAACACCGTCTAGTGTTAAAATACTTCTGTAATACAGCATTGGGACCCAATATATTCTTTAAATCCCTTATGTATTCCAACTCCAAACGCAAACTAAGTAAAATCCAATGGCTAAAAAAGGGGGGGGGGAGAACGACATGTGATAAAACCATAGGGGTTCACATGGCTTTGCTGTAGGTTTTTTTTTTCCTGAGGGGAAGAAGATGAGGGAGAAAATGACTTAAAGAATTTGAATGGAAGCTTAGCCAAAAAGGGAGGGGCAGGGGGTATATAATTATTTTTTAAGGGACAACCTGGGTATGATGGTAAAAGGATATGAACCTAGAGACAAAAGACATATGTGCAGATTCAAAAATAACGATGATATAATTATACCTGACATTTATATAGTGCTAACCAGCCTAGCCAGTGAATAGCACAAAGACTGTCATCCCCATTTTACAGCTTGCTCAAAGTCACAAAACTAGCAAGGAAAACTAGGATTTGAATTCAGGTGTCCTGACTCTAAGACAAGTCCTCCCACTGTATAATACTCTATTAAGAGTATTATACATTTCCACTGTATAACACTCTATATAAGTAAGTATTCTCTGTTAAGAATTTTGTCTATCAATGATGTATTTGAAATATGATGGAACCTGCTTTTATACAATCTGAATCCTTTTTTAGAGCAAAAGGTAGGTCTGCCCCAAAGGATCATGGACTTATAGAAGGAAGGAACCTTAGAGATCGTCTAATCTAACCCATCATTTTACAGATAAGGAAAGTGAGGAACAGAAAGGGTAAAGTGACTTCAAACAGTTGTTGCCTGTAAGTGGAATCTTTGACAGAACTAACAATAAAAGATGACTTCAAGGGCTATGTACCTTGTCCTTGCCAAACTTTAGAAGGTACCACTAAGATTTTGTCACGGGATGCTGCCGGCTGTATCCACCTCCAAACCAGAAAATCTACGCCGCCTATTCTTCGTGTCTCTGTACGAACTCTAGATTCATCTGCTGCCAGAAAGTCAACGGCTCTATCCCAGACTTTCTTCATTTTTTTCCTAAAGTAGAGACCAAATAAAGTTAAACTCCTACAGCTTGATTTATTGTACATCTATGAAAATGAAATATGCTGCATCATCTTTTATTCCCAGTAAGAGATCAGGCAGCATTTCTACTTAAAATTTAAAAAAAAAAAACAAAAATACAAGATGATTTATGGTTTTGCTTGTGAAATGGCATTAGCTGATTGCCTACTTGTGTTTGTCACTCCCCCCAAAAAAGTTATACCAAGCTATTTACTATTCTTCCGTCATACAACTTTTGGGTCCCAAGACTTTTCTTTTCATCTGTCAAGGGTTCTCAGGCTCCAACACAAAATAAAATAAAACACAAAACAGAGTGGGGCAGTGATAGAAGTTACAAAAGAATGAGGACCACAGAACAGTCTAGTTCTAGAAGTAACCTATGTTGCTGCTAAAATACAAGGAGGGTACAGAGATAAACAGACTACGAGGGCCCAAAAGGAGGCATACACCAAAAGCACAGGAGAGGCTTGATGACTCTGGACATACTACTTTAAAATCACTTGCATTTTAATTTTCTTCAGCCATGCTTTGAACATACCTGTCTGGAGGTGGTATTAAAGAATCTCGAACATGTGGAATAGGCATGTATGGCTGTAAATCTTTATTTTCTTGGCAAGCGTCATTATGACTTCGCAACACATCTGAAAATATAATAAGGTGTTGTCATAGTTTATGGCTGCATTAGTTACTCAAGGGGTCTTAACATATTTTTCTTTAAATATACTACCTATCAAAATGTTGCTTGAGAAGCATATCTTATAATTTTTAAATTTTAATAAATTTTAAAATTATATACCTATAATCTTTATCACCATATCATACATCTGCCTTGTTTCTTCCTCTTCTTTTGTCCAGTGATATTTCACATAATGCAGAACTACACAAGCCATCACTACACCTGAAAAATTTTAAAATGTGCTTTTAAAATTATGCTTGGCTGCATCTTAAAAACATTTTAATCTTAAAAGTATTAGAAAGCTAGTTTTCCAAGCTTAGTATTTATAAAGTCAACAATGAATGAGGATTCAAAGACTAAGTATTATGTTTTGTTTTTGTTTTTGCTAGGCAATGGGGTCAAGTGACTTGCCCAAGGTCACACAGCTAGTAAGTGTTATGTGTCTGAGGCCGGTTTTGAACTTAGGTCCTCCTGAATCCAGGGCCGGTGCTCTATCCACTGTGCCACCTAGCTGCCCCAAAGTATTATTTTAATACTAATTAAAATAGCATTAAAAATAACATTTAAAGAAATTCTAGACAATTCTTAAATGTTTCTTAAGAAAGCACCCTTTCGTTACTATAAGATTTATCCATTTATATTTAACTTAATTCTAAAATTTAAAATTTAAAATAACCTGACAATATGTTACAAAGATTTTTCTTTATGAGTTCAAAATAATGAACTACTAGAAGAGCAAAAGGATGAGTCTAAACTTATCTTAACAATCTCCTCAAATAATTGAAGCACATGATTTTAGGAAAATGCAACTTTTAGATGGGTTGAAAGAAAGAGGAAATGAGTAAAAATGTCTTAAAAGTTTCACCATTAAACATAAATGTCAACATTTTACAAAATTCAGTTTGCTTAATAAATATACATCCAAAGTATTTCAAAGTAAACTTATAGTTTAAAAATCATACTTCTCATTTCCCTACTTTCAATAAGAAAAGACAAAAGTCTGTTAAAAAAAAAAAAAGGTCTCAGCTTCACACCCCACCATCCCATCCCATAGGGTTCCCTTCAAATCCAATTCAATATTTTTCACGAGAGTTCCCTGGCACATAATTAGTCTGGTGCGCTGGAGAGAGTTCTGGACTTGGAATAAGGAAGACTCTGGTCAAGCCATTTCACATTTCTCATTCTCAGTTTCCTGGACTGTAAAATGGGAACATATCTACTGTCATAGGGTTATTGAGAGGATCAAATAATATAGGCAAAGCGCTCCACAAACCACACAGTGATAAATCACGTGTGTGCATTAGCTACTATTTTAAACAACAGCAAAAATCCCTCAACAGACCGCACTGACCCATCCACTCTGCAGACTGCCTGCTCTTCTTCAAACTCTACATGGCATGCACGATGACTATGCCGGCACGGCGACTTACCGAAGCACAACAACAAGAGCAAGCACAACAGCAGCAGTCTGTGAGTCACAGTCACGAGTGCACGCCGAAAGCGACACCAGAAAGACATCTGCGGCCTGGTGGACTGCAAGAACTGCACATCAGCTATGTCTGTCACGTCTTCACTTGAGCTGTTACCAATACACCTGTTTAAAAATGACGAAGGGGCAGTTTAAAACCTAAGCCATTCTCTTACGAGTGTTAAAGGAAACAAAATTAAAAGAAAATT